TGCCGTCATCGAACCCTCGTTCGATTTCCGCTGGAATACCCCATCATGCACAGACCGATGTCGATTCCGATACTCATTCTTGAGCAACACTAACTCACCAAATTTCATCGATCGACACAACGGATTTCCGTTTGCGCATGTGCAGCGTTCTTGTTGCAATTTTTTTTTCCGTACGAAAATGCCACTAATCCATCGATATTCAAAAGGTTTTCCAGCCTCACCCTTCCAGAAAATTCGGCCAGGAGTACAGTAAAAAAAAATCGTTGGGTTCCCATGAACACAATTATCGTACGAAAGACCATTTGTGGACGATTTTCAAACCATAATCGATAGGTGTATGGGCACCTTTACAGAGATTGTACAGTCAGGTTGTACTGTGTCAGGTCAGTTTAACAATCTGATTGTACAATCTCTTTTAGGTTCACTAAAACTATATAACTTGAGGACGTACCTAAAAGGTCCACTCAGTTTCTATCTAATCAGGCAAGCCTTGCGCTTCATAGGTGAAAGTTGATTAAACAATTAGATTGCAGCGTGCATGGTCAGCTTTAGGCCTCAATCACACTGTAATCGGCCGGCACGTACAGCTCCGTGCTGTGTGCACGGCCTTATCGGGCGGTTCCCGGGAAGGACAGGTGCTGCGTGTGATTAGTACGCAGCCCCCGTCCTTCTCTATGGGACTACGCGGCCGTACGCCCCCCTACGCTCCCCTCAAGTGCAGGGTGCGGGTGTTCCGGCTCGGACGCAGACAGGATCCATGCTGTGGGCGTACGAGTACGCTCATCCGCACAGACGTGCAGGAGGGAGAGCGTAGGGGGGCGTGCTGCTGCTGCTGGTGTAAACAAAATGTCAAAGGATTCTGGCTAGGTTCACACCTGTGCGACTCCTGACCACGCTGCAATCGTGCACAAAACCGTGCGGATTACCGGCGGTCACGGAGTCACCCAACACAGCCGATCGCGCTGTGGGTGCAATTATTTTCTAATGGCACCCAGTCGAGCCGGGCGGATTGCGCGGTTTCCTGCCACGATTCCACCCGTGCAATTGCACAACATTGCGGCTATAAAAGCCGTCCGTCGTGTGTCGCAAAAAAAGGTACTTGTACCTTGTATTAATGATTGCCGCGCGGATGTCACCCCATTGCACTAGCACGCGATCGCGCGCCCCCGGGTGTCGCTCAGGTCTGAACCTAGCCTCTAGGTTCTAATGTTGATACAACCGGCATAATATACAGGGCTATGGGAGTTCTTACATTCCAAAGCACATTGGTTGAAGGATTTATCCGATCGCCAGTATGGGGTCAGCGAGGATTTTTTTTACCCTCTTAGAGCAAATTGATCCTCTGGATCAAACACATAAAACTCATACACAGAGGGGTGAACTTCATCAACCTGTGTTTTTTCTCAACCTACTCATTAACACTACTCATGCGCAAACGAAAATACGTGCGGTCGATTACCGCAATTCGTCCAGGTGTTTTTTAAAACTACCGCTAATTGAACCTTGCGATGGTCGGATCAGGATGGGGCCGCCGTACGAAAATCGTGTACGGGCACCTTAAAGCATTTTCATTTCCATGTTGCTGTTGAAGGTTTTTCCTGGGTAAAGCTGCCCATACACCAAGCGATCGTCGGACGAAACTTTTCGCCCGATGATCGAACAGTCGTACGATTTTCGTACGACGTCCCCATCCTGCCCCGATCATCGCAAGGTTCAATTAGCGATAGTTAAAAAACAACACCTGGACGAATTGCGTTAATCGCCCGCACTTATTTTCGTATGCGCATGAGCAGTGTTAATCGCACGAATTTTGACATACGGAAACGCCACCAACCTTGCGAAAATCGTACGATCGACTGAAGTTTTCTAACCTGCTGGGAAGTCAACTCAAGTTGAAGTCAAGTCGTACGATTGTACAGTACTGGCGGTTGTACACTGCCCATCAACTTTACGAATATCACACAAAAACGCGATCGCATACGCAAATCGACCGATAATAGTAAGGTGTATGGGCACCTTAAATCTCCCTAAAGGTGGCCATAGACTTTTATCTTGCGAGGGTTGTAAAGTAAGTAAAAAAACATACGATCTGCCCATCTTGGACAGGCAGATCGTATTTCCGATCATCGCAAGCCCGCCCCCCCCTGAGGGGCAGGCTTCAGATGACTGCAAACGAGCTGTGTGCGCGTGCGCACACCGGCCTGTCGGCAGTTGTCGAAAAAGCAGGCTACTAACTCGCCAAGAGTCGTACGATTCCCGGTGGGTTTTCCAGTCTGCTTGTTCGACGGAAGTAGAAACGGTCGCACGCCTTCCATACACTTTACGATTTCCCGCGATTGCCGTACGATAATCGCGCAGTGTATGGGCACCTTTATGGAGCCCCAGATAGCAGTAAAAACCCAACGAGAGATCTAATCATTCCGCATTCTATCCACGGCTGGACATGAAGTGTTGACAGCTATCACGGATGACTTGTTTGATCTTTGCTGTAACCTTTATCTGTGACCTGTCACCCCTCCAGCGTGTCCTCTCCTGGTCACTATGTACTATTCCCACCACCGTGTCCGTGTCCTCTGTTCATTCCAGTGTGCGCCACACCTATCCTCAGAAGCAGTCAAACCCTTCAACCATAAACCTGTGTCATAAGACTGTACATAGTTATTTACAAATAATTGTGAAGTAGTCCATAGTAACCAGTTAAACATTTGATTTCGCCGTCAGAAAGGAAAAGGAAGAACAATTGCCGCATGTTATTCTATATTTACACTGCGGCAGTAAATCAAATGGGAATGTTATGTGGCTGCCTTCTGCCTAATGAGCGGTATCATAAAACCTTTCTTGTATTCGCTCCGCAACCATTGCACAGAAGATGACGAGACCTTAAATTGTTTTATAATGTGATACTCGGACCTCAGCGCCCTTCATCCTTCCTAATCTCACCACGTCTCCTCTCCTGTTACAAGCCATGTGCAGCCCCTATCACCTGCCCAAAGCTGAGCCCATTATTCTCACTTGTACCACAAGCTCATGTTCAGAGTACACAGTCACAATACCTACTGTATATGCCACTACACTATATACAATACATATATACCACTATCAACCTACTTATATACCACTATCACATTACCTATATACCAGTATCACACTACCTATATACCACTATCACACTACCTATATACCACTATCACATTACCTATATACCACTATCACACTACCTATATACCACTATCACACTACCTATATACCACTATCACACTACCTATATACCACTATCACACTACCTATATACCACTATCACAATACGAATATGCCATTATCACATGAACAATATTCTACTATCACACTACCGAAATATCACTATCAATAATCAGGCTTTGTGCCATCATTCAACATTCACAGTTCCCTGACCTGTGGACACTTTCCTCTATATCTGTGTCCTATGCCATCATCTGCACCAAGACACGCCATTATTTTCAGCTGCTTATCTTCTTGGTTTCCTATTCCTTAACTTTAGCATCACTTCATTCATTTCTCCTTTCCTCTCCTGTCCTCACCTACATTACAGCTTCAACCTCTCACCTGCACCATCATCCCATCTTCATCTCCTCACCTGCACCATCATCCCATCTTCATCTCCTCACCTGTGCCATCATCCCATCTTCATCTCCTCACCTGTGCCATCATCCCCTCAACTGATCCCTCATCCCACCTTCATCTCCTCACCTGCACCATCATCTCATCTTCATCTTCTCACCTGTGCCATCATCCCCTCAACTGATCCATCATCCCACCTTCATCTCCTCACCTGCACCATCATCCCTTACTTTCACCCCCTAACCAGTGCCATCATCTAAACATCATCACACTTTCATCTTTTACTCATTTATGAAATCCCACATCCAATTCCTCAACTGTATCGTAATCCCACTCTGGGCCCCAAACCTATATAATAAACCCACTTCTGGTCCCTCACCTGCGTCATGAATCCAACTCTTGGCCCATCACCTATGCCTTACTCCCAACTCTGGGCCCCTCTCCTGCATCAAACTGACAATTTTGAGTCTTTCACCTGGATCATAATGCCAACTCTGGGTCCCTCATTGGGGTCACGATCCCACCTCTGGGTCCCTCACCTGTGTCATAATCCCAACCCTGTACCCTCATTAAAGTTATAATTCCTCTTTTAGCCCACTGACCTGTGCATACTCCTACCTCTATGCCCATCGCCTGTCTCATACTGTCACATCTGGACACCTCACCTGTCTCGTGCTCCCATCCTGGGGGTCCCTCATCAGAGTCATACCGCTACTTCTGGACCCCTCACCTGTCTTATACTCCAACCTCTGGACCCCTCACCTGTCCCATACACCCATCCCCGATACTCTCACCTGTTTCAAACTCCTCCCCTGGAACCCTCACCTGTCTCATACCCCCACCTCTGGTCCCTTACCTTTATCATACCCCACCTCTGGACCCCTCACCTTTCTTATACCTCCACCTCTGGACCCCTCACCTTTATCATACTCCCACCTCAGACCCCTCACCTGTCTTATACCCTCACATCCAGGACCCCTCACCTGTCTCACACCCCTACCTTTGGACCCCTCATCTGTCTCATACCCCTACCTTTGGACCCCTCATCTGGCTCATACCCCTACCTCTGGACCACTCACCTCTTATATCCCCACATCCAGGATCCCTTACCTGTCTCATACCCCCATCCCTGTCCCCTCACCTGTCTCATATTCCCACCTCTGGACCCCTCACATGTCTCATATCCCCACCTCTGGTCCCCTCACCTGTCTCATCCCCCCATCCCCAGAACCCATCACCTGTCTCATACCCCCATCCCCAGGACCCCTCACCTGTCTCATACCCCCATCCCCAGAACCCATCACCTGTCTCATACCCCCATCCCCAGGACCCCTCACCTGTCTCATACCCCCATCCCCAGAACCCATCACCTGTCTCATACCCCCAACCCCAGGACCCCTCACCTGTGTCATGAGCCTGTCTGCCCCGGTGTTCTCCTCGTCCTTGAAGATAATGTCCGAGTTGTAGTTTGGAGTGAGCTCCTTGAAGCGCTCCGAGTTGCGGGCGATCTTGCCCTCGTACCTCCCGCTGGCCCCCAGGGTCTTCTCGGGCACATTGGGACTGAACTGCTTGTAGGAGAGCGGGGTGAGCTTGGCAGGTCTTCTCCTCCTGCCCACCACCCTGCCCGGCCCGCAGCCTCGCACAGCCGGGCTAAGGAGCAGCAAGGCGCCGCAGAGCAGCAGCACGATCGAGAGCAGCTGCATGGGGCGTCCGGGCTCCCTGGGGCTGCGGATCACAGGAGCTCCATCTGCCATCAGCATGACCGGACCGATCTCAGCCTCAGCTCCCTGTCACCTCTCCAGCGCTCCGATCTCCGGATTGTCATGTCAGAATAAAAAGAAAGTTGTCACCGCTGAGAGCGAAGTGTCACCGAGCCCGACGTCCCGTCCCAGCGCTGGGTGACGCGTCGGGGCTGCTGCGCTTTGTGATCCATAGAGGTGGCTTCTCTAATTGCCGCTCCGTTCTCTGTAATTATGGCTGTCTGCAGATGTGTGTCATCCGTGCCCGGCGTCTGATGTGCACCTGGGCTGCGCTACTGCTACTGCGCTCCCCATTCCAGCACTGTATGCTGTCTGTCCGGCATTCAGAATAGATGACAGAGGAGTTCAGAACCTCAGAGAGCAGAGTGCGGTGTACTGAGCCCCTAATGCCCTTTCAGGCCGGGATCTATAATATATGTATTCCGGTTTATATTCATTTGCTTTAATAATGAGTTACATGGTTACAATAAATATTATTCACTGCTGGAGAATGAGTTATCATCTACAACGCATGCACCTGGAAGATTCACCTACAATAACAGTACATTTACACCAAAGTCGGAAAGGAAATCGGAGGGTACGTTGATTTAATTGAACCATCTGATTTTCTTCCGATCCGTCGCGTTACGATACATTTTCCAACGGATGCTAACGGAAGGGTGCCAAAAAATAAATGGGTGTGAATGGGGCTTGTTCACACAGGATCTGTTACGCTGGAAAAAAAAAGCAGAGCCCGTTCCACTTTGTATTTAGCGCAATGCAAGAGCGGTGTGGATGAGCCCCATTTATTTTTCGGTGTCTTTCCATTTCCGCATCTGTCGAAAAGACATATCGCGACACAACGGTTCCGGTGTGAATGGATCACCGTCATTTCCAACACATGCACCTGGAAGATTCACCTACAGTAAGGCTGCATTCACCCCAAAATCGGAAGGAAATCAGAGGGTCCGTTGACTTGCAATTATACCTCCCGATTTCCTTCCAATCTGATACATTGTGATATGTTTTTCAACGGATGGTAACGGAAGGGCGCTGAGAATGAGCAGGGCTCGTTCACACCGGATCCGCTGCATTATGTTGCCTTGAAAAAAAGTAGAGCGTGCTCATTTTTTTTTCCAGCACAACGGATCGGA